ACGAGTTGAATCTTGATAATCTGTAACCATGAAACACCTGGCTTTGTCATGGCCTTCACGAAGTGGGAACAAGTAAAATACTTGTTTGTCCAAGATGAGGGCAAACTTCACTTGAATTCCAACCATTGCTACCCTTGACTTGATCACTTTGCTTGACGACTTGAATATAACCTCCTTGATCAGGTTAAAAAAAACCTTGATAATTCTTCTTGTTAGACACACATACCTCGATCCCCTGTGGAATGCAAAATGTTATGCAATGCTAATGCTGATGATGCAATATAACATAAGCCAAAGAGGTTGGTCAAATTTTGGGGTACAACATATATGTACAAAGGATTAAAAGTGAGAAAAGAGACCTAAGGGGTTAATTCTAAGTTTACTCGGCAAGACATCGCATCTTGTGCCTACGTATCCTTACGAGAATGGAATCAGAGTAATCGTAGTTCCCCTCGAAAGGGAGGTTAGAGACTTCTTGACTGTGGTCAAGGTCTCAAGGGGAATAAACGCATCTTAAGGATACGCTTACGTGGAGTGTAGAAACTCCAAATCTCTACGTTGAAATGTTAAGTTGTAATTAGGGTTAAATTAGGGATTCCACGGCGGGAAACCCTAAACTGAGCGCGGCGGCTCTTTGACCTAATGCTAGGGGTAAAATTGTAATTTTGTCTGCGGCGAGGCATTTGTGAAAATTAGGGTTTGTAGTTTGTAGTTTTGAGGATTTGAGGTTGAGGACTATTGGCGCGGCGACCAAAAGCTAGACCTAACCTTCGGATGTGTGTAGTGTGACAGAAAAATTGGTGAATGTGTGAGAAACTAATCATACGAGCAGGGAAATGATGACATAAATTAAAATCATACACGCAGAAAATAAAAGGCAGAAATTAAAACGCGAATGTTAGATTCGCGGTGTTACATATGAGAAGCAGTTACAATATAGTTATGAAATTTTAATAAACCAAACACGCCGTAAGAGCTGCAAATGATGAACACTGTCAATAAGCAAAATTAAACGGCAATTGGACAAGTCAGGAGAAAAAGTGTAATATTGAAGACTTTTGTTATCTTGAAAGGAATGTTAAATGAATCTATATATATAAAAAAAATGAGTACTGTTAAAAGAAAATATTAAATTTAATCTTGAAAAAGGACTTTAACTTAGATATTTTAAAAAAGATTTTTTTGTTATTTATTGAAAAGGTTTTTTATTTATTTTTTTAAAACAGTTTTAAATTATATAAAAAGTAAAATGTTAAAAAACAATTTAAAAACATAAAAACAATTTTTAAAAACAAAACAAAATAATAAAAAAAGGGGTTGGGTCGGTCATCACATCCGGACCCAACCCGGTTGGTTAGTAGTGAGGCCAGACATCAATTAGGGTTTCAAAACCCTCAACTCTTTCCGCGGCTACCCGTTTGCATCTTCTTCTTCTCGCCTTTCTTCTTTCTCGCGCTGTGATCCTCTTATTTCCTGAAACAAAACATGAAACTCGTAATGAAACGTCCCATTGCTTACGTTTAAAGTGGAATCGGCCGATGATGGCGTGAGCTGAGGCCGGAGGGTGATTGTCCGTTGTTCTCCGTCGACGGCGCTGATGGTCGCTCTGTTTCGAATCCTTCGTGACCGATAATGGATGATACACGGTGTGTGTTGGGTGGTGCGTTTGAACGATGATGACGAGGGGTCCTTCGTCTGAGTTCGCGGTCGTTAGGGTTTTGCATGTGACTTTTTCCGTTCCTCTGGGGCTTTCGCGATTTCGTTCATTAGGGTTTTCATCAGGTGGTATCTTCCCTTTTATATATCCTTTTCGATCTTTCTCTTGGGCCTTTTGGATGTTGGATTTGCGTTATTCTTTTATGATTTCGTGTTGATTTTGTCTGATTTGATTTTATCTGGGCTTTGTTCGTTCTTTCAGATATTGATTGGGTTCCAATTGGATGTTTCTTGATACGATTTGGATCTCGTTTCCTCTTTTAGGACTTGATTGGGGTTTTTGATTCCCAACTGATATAATTTTCTGATTTGATTCGAAGCTTTCTATTTCCAGAGTTCCTTGATTGAACGTTACTTGCCCCTACTGATTTGTTTTGATTGATTCGTTTTTGATCGTGAATTTGTTTGATTTCATCTGAACTGATTCGTTTTCGATTTGGCAATTTTTGATGCATTTAGCTTTTCCTCTTCTTCTTTCAGAGAGGGCTGATACCACGGCTTCGGTCGAGTCAGAATTGCGGGGAAAGGTATACGGCAATGATGACATCGTTCTGAGCCTTCGAGGGATGTTCTTCGATGATGTCGCGGTTGCCTTCTGCTGGTTGGTTTTGATGCTCGGTTGTGACTGTGAGCTGGGCCATGATGCTGATTAACTGAGCCGTGGTGACCGATATGAACTGCTATGGTTTTGTGCACTCGTTTATCTTATGAACTGATATGTTTATGTTTGCTTATTCTTGCTCGTTCTGGTACAATTCGTGCCATGATTTTGTGCTGTGGCGCATTCTGAACTGATGTGATTGCTCTTCTTTTGATCTTGTTGAATACTTTTCTGTCAACAGGAACTACACTTTGTGTGACAGATTTGTTGAATGTTCTTTTCCTGCTCTTGCGCACGAACTTGCCTTTTGATGCATTGTTTGATGCCATAGTTTGGTTTGTATTTTCTGTCCTGTTCAGAATTGATGCAGTTTGATGCCATAGTTTGGTTTGTATTTTCTGTCCTGTTCAGAATTGATGCAGTTTGATGCCATAGTTTGGTTTGTATTTTCTGTTACCTATGGCAACTTATGAATTGTTTTGGGTTTTGAGTTCTGAATTCTGAACCTGGTATTGATGTGTTTGTGGATTTTCAGGTGTGGAAAAAAAATGACTCAGACCTGCCGGCATCCGGGTCTGGGTCCAAATTCGCCTATGTTGCCTTACTCTCGTATCAGTTCGGAAATCCAATCGCGGCAAAACGAATTAGTCCCGCTTCTTTTATCACTTATATCTCTCGGATGTCCCGTAACGATAAGAACAGGTGTTACCTGATCTGACGCCAACGGCGCGGATCGGTAACGGGGGGTAGGACGCAGCTTCGGTTGTGCCACTCCCGACACTCGATGATGACACTGTTCTGAGAGTGTCGAAAACAAACTCTAACATTTTTCTATTCTGTTTGTTCTTTTTGATGTGCAGGTGAATCGGAGATTCTGCGGAGAAACTCAAAGGACACCGCGAAGGACACCTAGAAGTCTTTAGGATTTAGGACTTAGAATTTTTAGAATTAATGTAATTCCTTGTAACAGCAATTCGAAAATGTGAAACAATCTCCCCTTTTTGTATGATGATCCCTTTTATGAAATAAAATGTCAGACCTTCCTTCATGACCTGCTCAACTTTGAATTTACTTATTTTTATTTCTAGTTATAAATTATAAATATTTGTGAACAAATCCACAAACGTTTGAACTCATTAACATAGTCATAAACCATAAACATTCGTGAGCGATGTTCTTGTCCGTGCACTTGTCTCATTTGTAATCTTAATCTCATCATCCAATTTAAATGCTAACCAACCGTTTCATAACCAAACACGGATGTGCACCGTAATCACAACAGTTTCAGTATCAACAATAACATTACTCGTAATTGAATTCCACTGACCAAAGACTGTGAGCAACAATCCAATAATACCCCAGTAAAACTGTGCCTTATTAACAGAAACGGAGGTGCGCCGGAAATAAGCCACGAGCAATAAAATAAGTCTTAAATTCAGTTGGGCCCGACAAATTTTAATACTGGCCATATCGAATTGGCGCCTTGATATAATCAGACCTGGTGATAGGTAAATGCCTCAAATGCCTCAAAATTTAGTAACAGCCCGTCTTCCACGCAAAATGACCAAAATACCCTTGGATCCAATCCTGCAAAACAAATACCTCCATGACTTGTTAGTGGTTAGCAAATGTACATATGAGATGCTATGCGAAATGACTGACTAAATATAAGGGTAAAATTTAGGGGTATTACAACATGCATGGTAAATTCACACGCACATCCAGATAGTTTACGCGCTACTCACCCAATCCTTTATTACTCTTATGCAAATCTATGAGAAATCTATCATGTCCAAGCATCCACATCCACACAAAACTTCTAACTCTTTCTTGAACTTTAAATTTTCATATTTTCCCCTCTTTTCTCATCCTCAAGAATCAACTTATTAATTAAAAAATAATTAGTTTTATAAAAAATAAAAAAACGATCAATACGTTAAAATCAGATGTGCATGATAATGAATGATTTATTAAGGTAAAATAAAATAGTTTTGAAAAAAAAACTAACATATTAATATAAATTATATTAAAATTAAATATTTAATAAAAAATTATTTCTAATATTAATTAAATTAATTAGTTGTTAACCAATGAAATTAAATTAATATATTTTGTTTGTTAAAATATTTATATTAAATAAATATAAAAGAAAAGAAAATATACATAAACAATATAAAATATTTTTACACAATATTCCACCAAATTTAGTTTTTATTTTTAAAATATGATATAAATGATGAAATTCAATATAAAGATAAAAGTATTTTATACATCCGTCTTTAATTTCAATAAATATTGAAAATAAAATGGAAACACGCGTTATTATTTTTGAATAGAGGCACCTCCATTGAAAAAAAAACCACGAAGGCAATGGCATAACCACCATAACCATCGTCCCTTAACATTAAAATTAACAACTACACACTAATCAGAAAGCTCCACGTCATCACAATCCCACATAACCATATACATCACCAACACCCAAATATAAATCGCCGAACGAGGGCAATCCCGGAATTATCGAAAATCCCCACGGCAATCTCCGATCACCTCTTATCTCGCATCATTTTCTCAATTCCTCTCTCATTTCACCTTTTTTTTTAATTCTTTTTTGTCACCCTCCACCGACTCGGTCTCTGACCCGCTCCGCCCTGACTCATCGCGGACTCGGTCCCCGGTCGTGATGGAGATAGCTAACGAACCACCGCCTTCCCTCGACGGAAGCCCTACCGCCGCCAATACCCTTGCGAACTCTCCGTCGTGTTCTTCCACATCCTCTTCCTCTTCGTCTCCACGCGGTTCCAAGGGAAAGGAGATCGAAGCTACCACATCGACGGCGCCGCCACCTGCTAAGTACGACGATGATGACGAAGATGAAGAGGATGTTTGCCGTATATGTCGGAACCCTGGCGAAGCCGATAATCCTCTCCGGTATCCTTGCGCGTGTAGTGGTAGCATCAAGTTTGTGCATCAAGATTGCCTTCTTCAGTGGCTTAATCACAGCAACGCTCGCCAATGCGAGGTTACCATTTCTCTTCGTAATTGTTCTTGTTCTTAGTGCTCATAGAAAATTCAGCATAGATTAGCATATTTATTTAGTTGAATTTAATGTCTAGTATCTTATATATGATAGTTATATACTTTATGTTGGACTTTTTTCCCCATAAATTGGCATGAATAAAGCTAGGTCTCACCCTAATTTGAGCTCAGATCAGCTGTCTAGTGATGAAAACCAAGATTCATAACTTGTTGCTAAGAATAATAATAGAAAGGAAAATTGGTGCTTAGAAGAAAGATCGTAATATAGTTTATGCTATTTTATTGTAACTAAGAGTTGTTATAGTCATGAAAGCCAGCAATTTTGAACTTCAGAATGAAGAAAATGAACCACTCTTGATATTTTTAAGAGCTGATTGAGGACATGTTTGTTAGACTTGAGCAAATTTTGTTTTAAAGTTATGCGTATATAAGTAACATGTACCAAATCTGTGCAAAAACCTTTTTCTTAACGTGCTTAACATGTGCTGCAGGTCTGCAAGCATCCATTCTCCTTCTCACCTGTGTATGCAGAGAATGCTCCTGCTAGGTTGCCTTTTCAAGAATTTGTGGTTGGAATGGGGATGAAAGCTTGCCATGTCTTGCAATTCTTTGTGCGCCTAAGTTTTGTGCTATCTGTGTGGCTCTTAATTATACCTTTCATAACATTTTGGATATGGCGGTTAGCTTTTGTGAGGAGTTTTGGTGAAGCCCAGAGGTTATTCTTAAGCCATTTATCGACTGCAGTTATTCTGACTGATTGCCTCCATGGTTTCCTGCTTTCTGCAAGCATTGTCTTCATTTTTCTTGGGGCCACTTCTTTGAGAGATTACTTTAGGCATTTGCGAGAAATTGGGGGACAGGATGCTGATAGAGATGATGAAGTTGACAGAAATGGTGCTCGAGTTGCTAGAAGGCCTCCTGGGCAAGCTAACCGTAATGTTAATGGGGATGCAAATGGAGAAGATGCTGGTGGAGCACAAGGAGCTGCAGGAGCAGGTCAAGTAATTAGAAGAAATGCTGAAAATGTTGCCGCACGATGGGAGATGCAAGCAGCACGTCTTGAGGCTCATGTTGAACAGATGTTTGATGGTCTGGATGATGCTGATGGAGCAGAGGATGTTCCCTTTGATGAACTTGTTGGCATGCAGGGTCCTGTTTTTCATTTGGTTGAAAATGCATTTACTGTAAGTCAAATAAAAAAAATACAATGTTTGGTACTCATTTATCACAATGTTGGTGGTCTTTATACTATTGTTTCTCTATATAGAAAATGGGTAATTTTCCCTGGGTAACATCTAACGTAGTTACTCATAGAAAACGGGCAATCTTCGTTGAGATATTTTTCAATGACCATTTAACCCTGGTCCTTACTTGCCACCTTTTAAACAATATTTTATTTGTTGTTATTTACACCCTACTGAGTTTAGAACTCAGAAAACATTTTCCCTAGGAAAACTATGACAAAAGTTATTAAGAAAGACCTCGAGATTAACAATTTAGATAAAAACACGGTCCTGGATAGAACATTATGTTGGAAGTTGATCCAGCCGACCTCACTTAGTGAGATAAGGCTTGGTTGTTGTTGTTGTGGATGTTGAGGGAGCTTTTAACACCCAATTTCAATAGGTGGTTGTAGTTGCATAAGCCTCAATCTTCTGTTTGCTGAAATTGATTGTGGCTGAGTTTTCGTTGTTACAACAAGATTAGTTCACTTTTATGTCCTAGTTAATTGGTCATTCTGATGATGCAATTACTTGATTTGTAGTGTAAATTCTCAAATCATCAGCTGAAGCAAATATTCTATGGGTGATCATTTTCCATATTTAATCGCTCTTTACATTGATACAACAATCTCTTTGTTTTGTACATTGTGATTTCTTCTGGATTAAGCTTTATTTGAAAAACCTGAATGTTTTTCTTCCTCCGATGAAATAACTTTTCTATTTACATTTATTATTTGCGAACTGAATGCTATGCTCATTATGCAGGTGCTGGCAAGCAATATGATTTTCCTTGGGGTTGTAATCTTTGTGCCCTTCTCATTAGGCCGCATCATTCTTCATTATCTATCATGGTTCTTTTCAACTGGTAGTGTCCCTGTGTTATCGGTGGTGGTCCCATCTGCAGACACTTCTCTTTCCCTAGCAAATATCACATTAAAAAATGCATTAACAGCTGTTAAAAATTTATCATCTGATACTCAAGAAAGCGGGTCAATTGGTCAGATTGCAGAAATGCTAAAAGTGAATGCAAGTGAATTGAGTGAAATGTCAAACAATATAAGTGCATCTGTTTCAACTGATATCTTAAAAGGAGGGCCGATAGGAACTTCCAGGATTTCTGATGTTACTACTCTGGCTATTGGATATATTTTCATATTGACTCTAATTTTCTGCTACTTTGGCATTGTTGCGTTAATTCGTTACACAAAGGGCGAGCCTTTGACGGCAGGAAGATTTTACGGCATTGCTTCTATAGCAGAGACAATTCCATCTCTCTTCAGGCAGTTTTTGGCAGCAATGAGGCATTTGATGACCATGGTAAAGGTCGCTTTCTTATTAGTTATTGAACTAGGGGTGTTTCCCCTGATGTGTGGGTGGTGGCTCGATGTTTGTACGATACAGATGTTTGGGAAGACAATGGCTCACAGAGCTCAGTTCTTCTATGCCTCTCCTTTAGCAAGCTCATTGATGCATTGGGTTGTAGGGATTGTGTACATGCTACAAATTAGCATATTTGTCAGCCTTCTTAGAGGGGTAACTTCTGTTCACATAATATAATGCTTTAAAGCTTTGATTATCTTTTTTATGCACTGTTTCATATGATAAATTTGTTTCTAACCGCAGGTTTTGCGGAATGGGGTTTTGTACTTCCTTCGAGATCCCGCTGATCCAAACTATAATCCATTCCGTGATCTGATAGATGACCCTGTGCACAAACATGCTCGCAGGGTTTTGTTATCTGTTGCAGTTTATGGGAGTTTGATTGTTATGCTGGTATTTTTGCCAGTTAAACTTTCAATGCGGATGGCACCTTACATTTTTCCACTTGAAATATCGTAAGCTGGCCTCTTAGCCAATTTTAGTAGTTGACACAATGCACAAAGTTTTCTGTTACAGTTGTGTTAAACTTGAATGTGCGTATTTTTGCAGGCTATCTGATCCCTTCACCGAAATTCCAGCTAACATGCTTCTCTTTCAGATCTGTATACCATTTGCTATTGAGCATTTTAAGTTGAGGACAACTGTTAAATCTCTACTTCGCTATTGGTTTACGGCCATTGGTTGGGCACTTGGTTTAACCGATTTCTTACTGCCTAGACCTGATGATGATGGTAATCAAGAAAATGGAAATGGGGAGCGAGGTAGGCAGGAAAGGTTACAGATAGTACAAGCAGGGGTACACGATCAGGGTATGATGCCATTTGCAGGTGATGATTTGAACAGAGTCACTAATGCAGATGCTGGAGAGGATTATGAAAATGATGAACAATCCGATTCTGAGTGAGTTCCTTACAAATCTAATTCCTACAACTATGATTTGAATCATCCAATATTGAATTTATGTCTATCTATTTAATTATTTACATTTTGTCTTGGGGTGGAGGTAGAAGGCAGGATGGGGTATTTTTTTAAACGGTTTTTGCCTATATTCTACTGGAGTAATTAGTTTTTTTTGTATAAGCAAGTATTTGTATTACTCTGCCATCATCTGATTAGATATTTGCTATGACTGTAGCAGTTATGCCTTTGTGCTTCGCATTGTTCTTTTACTTGTCATTGCTTGGATGACTCTCCTTGTCTTCAATTCTGCCCTGGTAGTTGTACCAATATCACTGGGAAGGGTGCTTTTCAACTCCATTCCTCGTCTTCCTATAACTCATGGCATTAAGTGCAACGGTAAGCAATTGATTGAACTGATTTCTTTTGTTGTGGGCTTCATAATTCTGAAAATATTTGTTATCTTATTTCCTTTGATAGATCTGTATGCCTTCATCATTGGAAGTTACGTGATCTGGACTGCTGTTGCTGGAGTTAGATACTCAATCGAGCAAGTTAGAAAAAGGAGGACTTCCGTTTTGTTGAACCAAATATGGAAGTGGTGCAGCATTGTTATGAAGAGTTCTGCACTTTTGTCTATATGGGTAAGGATGACTCTTATTGCTGATCATGTTACTGAACAGAACTTTTTTATAACACATAAGTTTTCTTTTTTATGATCAAATCCTTTTTCCCGGTTTCAGATATTTGTCATCCCAGTTCTTATTGGACTTCTCTTTGAGCTTTTGGTCATTGTGCCAATGAGAGTTCCAGTGGATGAAAGTCCAGTATTCCTCCTTTATCAAGACTGGGCATTAGGCCTTATATTTCTCAAGATATGGACTAGATTGGTGAGTTTGTTTTCTTCATTATGAGCATTTCCCTTGTTAATCTTCTGTTGACTGTCGTTAATTCATGTATGAAACCTTTATCAACTTGTTTAAATGCTTCATGATATATACATTAAATTAATGAGTGTTATGATGTTGCCGGTCTCCATTTTGCTTAAGAATATATGGTCTTCTGCGGTACTCAAGTAATAACCAGAATATACTGATACAACAAATTCCTGTATAATGAAGAAAATTTCTTGAATTCTTTCCTCTTTAATACGGACTTGGGACCAATCATGTTAATGTTGACATCAAAGCCTGAAATGGGCAGTATATTATCCCAGTGGTATTCTCATTTGGTGAGACATAGGACTTGTTTGTTAGAACCTATAATTTATTTTACCATATATAATGTATTTCTTCTATCTTAGTAGGATATTTTTTACTAATGATTTAATGATTTTTTGGGGGAATTAAAATGGCAAGGGTTGATGAATTATGAATGCCGATTTCTATAAGATCAGTAAAATGAATATAATTGAGTATATGAAGTTTTTTTTAAGGATAATTCCCTGAGTACACTACTTGGAAATGTGACCAGGAAAAGTTTGTTGAGCTATGATCTTAGTCTCTTACCATCTAAAGTTGTTAGATGTTGGATTTCCATTCAGCTGACAAGAATTATCAACCAAAAGAATGTGTCAAAATGTTTTCACATCTGACTAATAATTGGGATAGTATAATGCTTGTTTCTTTTTCAGACTATCCCTCATTTGTCAACTTCCTATGTTTTATGTGTCAATGGCTATTCATAAATGTGTTATCTGTCTCCGCAAGGTTTGGTACAGTACAATACTGTGTTTATTTATGTTTTTCTAGTATTGACTTGGTTCATTGATTAGGTTATGTTGGACCATATGATGCCACTAATGGATGAAAGTTGGCGAGTAAAATTTGAGAGGGTGAGAGATGATGGTTTCTCCAGGCTTCAGGGCCTTTGGGTCCTACGAGAGATCGTACTACCTATCATAATGAAACTATTGACAGCATTATGTGTACCTTATGTATTGGCCAGAGGTATGTTTCCAGTGCTCGGGTACCCATTAGTGGTCAATTCTGCTGTCTACCGGTTTGCATGGTTGGGATGCCTCTCTTTCAGTTTCTTGTGCTTTTGTGCCAAGAGATTTCACGTCTGGTTCACAAATCTCCACAATTCAATACGCGATGACCGATATCTTATTGGCCGGAGGTTGCATAACTTTGGAGAACATGTTGAGAAGGCAAATGAAGCAGAAGATTCTACAGTTGTGCAGGATACTATTTTACAGGGTACAAATTTAAATCAACAAGATCATGATGCAGATGTTGGACTCCGGTTGAGGCGCATAAATCAGCAGGCAGGCTGAGGGAATTATATTTCAGGGAGGACTCCGGTTGAGGCGCATAAATCAGCAGGCAGGCTGGCATGGTTCTTCAAGAGTAGCTTATATGGTTCTTCAAGAGTAGCTTATATGAATGTATACAATACTCTATACACATGTGTTTGTTGATGTATACAATACTCTTTACAACTGTACTTAAGTCGAGATAAACAGTGTGCATCTAAAATAATTTAGCTAGTAGTAGGATAATAATAATGTAGAGTTTTTATTTTTATTTTATTTTTTGTGGAACCGAAACAGAATGCATGCTAGATAGATGGCAATATAATTAAGGGTAATGTTAATTTGTGCTCTAGGGGCACATGTTAAAAATTAAATGTAGAAATATTTTTTTAGAACTTGTGTATTGTTTTTATCAAAATTTATAATTAATTTTTTTATTATTTTTTCTAATACAAATTTTTTATATATAAATTTTTTAACATGTGCCCTTAGAACACAAGTTAGCATTACCTTATAATTAATTAGAAAAATGACGTCGTTAATTTACTATGTATTGTTTTCCTGCGCATACTTTAAGTGTATTGGAGCATTTTAAGTGCTCATGTTAAGAACCAAACTTGTGTTTGTTGTTTTTTTTAGGGAATATAGTTGTCATGAAGTTTTAGAATACTGACTCATTTTATTCGGTTTAATTAGACCGTGGTACTGATAATTAGTTTTTTAATTTTATGTTGGTTTTTTATTAAATAAATATTGCTATATCTCAAATACATAAATGCTCATCTGTTAATCGACGTGGTTCTTTCTATTATTTTTGACAAAATATTCAGTTTTACTGATTTGGCATGTGACCGGTTGAAAACAATTCCCCCAAAGGTGTGTAGTGGCATGATATAGGGAAGCCTTTTAAGAAAGGGTGTTGCTATCTTGCGCCTCAGGCACATGTTAATGTTAAGGTGTAATTAATGAAAGGTGATTTTATCTATTTTATTTTAATACTTAATTATAGTAATTAGTCCATTAAAATTTATCTTTATTAAAAATAATTAGGACAAAATTGTCCTTGATATATATACAGCGTTTTATAATATTAAGAACCATTATAATAATTTGTAAGGCAAATTTCTTTTAATTAGTTTAAAACTAATTTGTTTTAAATTACAATAATATATTAATGCAAGAGAAAGTTTTTTGATATAAAATTAAAATAATTTAAAAGTATAATAATGTAGCAAAATAAATTAAATTCCAAATATATCATTCAAATATAATTTTTTTTATTTTAAATTTCTCAAATAAAAAGAAAAAAAATCAGTTGACGAAATTTACGACGGACTTCGTACACATCATCAATTTCTTTCTGTTATAAAAAAAAAAATAGTTTTAATGAACAAATTAAAAATATAAAAGATATAAAAAAACAACATAAGAAATAAATATAAAAAAATTTAAAATTTTAAAAAAATACATACCTAAACTTTTGGTAGAAGAATTGGATTTAAATTTGCATTTTGACAATTTTTTTTCTTATTTTTAGTGTGAGACGAAAATTGAATATTTTCTTTTAGAGGACAAGTTGCAATATTATGTCCTACACCTTTGTATAATCCATAAGTACTCATGGTGTGTGAAAGCTTTTTTTCTCCTTTAAGACGTCTTCGTTTAGGACGACCTTTTGTTTTGGAAATCGGAGAACAATATCATCCACGTGAGCTTCATTGTTGTAACATATTATTTGGTCCTAAAACACAACATTGATTGGTTGATGATTTACTACATCTTCCTCATGTGATACTTGAAGTCACCATCGTGATGGAAAATAATTAGAAGAGATTTCATGACAATCTTTATGAAGAAAAATACTGAGAATGTATTGACATAATATTCTCCAAAACTCAAAGTGCTTACAGCTACATATAGCTATTTTACCATCCCAAAAGACCATGTGTTTTCTATTATTAGCATCTTTATAATACCGCAACACAAACACATTACCGTTTTCATGATAAATTGAATATTGGATGGACCTTTCAAACTCCTCTTGAAACTTTTGAAAAGAAAAACCTGTGAGAAGACTATGAGCTTGCTCTTGCAAAGGTGATATCAACTTCATGTTCAATCTTTTGCATTTTTCTAACATTATATGATGCTCTTCTTTTTGCTTGATATCATTGATTGCTAAATCAACCTGAAATTAATTTAAATGAATCAAAACATAATTTTATAGGATTATAACAATGATAATATTTTAGAAATTAAAACATACCTGCTTTGTAAAATCACTTAAATTTGTATAAGAATTGATGAATCTTTTGATAAACGCATTAATACTCTCAGATCTACCTGTGGTTGTCATTCCACCAAAGAAATATTCACGAAGATAAGCGAGTGCCCAATAATTTTTAATTTCATCCAACCCTTTCACGTGTTTATTTGATTGCAAGTTATATTTAGCAACAACTTTTGGCCATTGATGCTCAAATTCTTCACGTGTCTCCAACTTATACAATCCATAAAAATCAGAACACCATTTTGGATATTTGTCTCGGAGTATAGTATTAAACCAACAACTAAACTTGAAAGTGATGTGCCATATGCAAAAACTGTGTTTTGTTGATGGCAACTCTTTTGAAATTTCTTCTTTCATCCATGGATCTTGATATGTTAATATAGTCTTCGATGACTTCTTCATTAAAGATATAAAAGTCTATAAAAAAATTATGTAATTAAAAAAATGATACAATAACAAATGATGTAAGAAAAATTATGAAATTAAACTTAAATGTTACCTTCATCAACCAACAAAATGCAGAAGTTTTTTCATTTCGTAAGAGTGATCATCCAAAAAGTATAGTCTTTCCATGACTATTCATATCCACAAAAATTCCAAATGGCATTTCATAAGAATTTACCTTGTATGTTGTATCAAACACAACAACATCGCCATATTCTTGGTACCAATTAAAACAATAAGCATGAGACCAAAATGTATGCTCTAACCTTCTTTCTTCATCAAGTGTATATGCATACTGAAATTTAGAGCAACTCTTTTTTGCATCCTCACAATACTTAAGAAGATCAACAACATCAGTTATTTCAACTTTTTTCTTGGCTTTCAAAAAAGATTGCGAACATCCTTTTCAATAAATGGAAGATAACCATGCTCCACATTTTTTTCTAGCTCTATGACACACATTAATTGTCTGACTGAAAGTCCACCTTCCTTTAACAAGAAAATTCGTTCATAATAATCATCTGAGATAATTCAGTTAGGCGTTAAAAACTGCACTTCTGATTGAGTTAACAAAGTATGATTACGTTCAACAACAGAGGTTGTAACTCACCACTCACTTGGAAACATATCATGAGTTTTTTGCAAAGAAATTCGCAAATGAGCTTTACATTCACATCTAGTTGATTCTCTATTTCTTTGTTCTTTTGATGGTTCTATAATTTTCAAGGAAGTTCTACCTTCACGATGGCAAAAGAAATCACGCCTACTCATAATTCCATTTTGTTTAATGAATCTACCTTTTCGAACTGAGAATCCGTGTTGATATACATATCACTTATAAAAAACAAATGTTTCTTCCTCACTAAGAAAAATTTGACCAACAAAAGGAACAATATTTGACTCCTTAAAAGTGTCACCCTCATCACTTGTAAAAATTGATTTATCTCATTATTATGACTAGAAATCACAATATTTTCTTTCTCAAAAATTTCAATTTCTTCAACTTCGTCTATAATATTCCAACCTACAAAAGAACCATTTTTTTGAAGAAACTTATTCCACTGAATATTCAATATTCAAACTCAAATACAAATTTATTCTATTGTTGTTCACACTTTCCATTTTGTATTTATCTTCCAAAAATAACAAGAATAAAAAAAAGTTATTCATCTGACTATGGAAAGTTATTTTAAAAAAATGGAATCATAAAATAACATAAAATAGATAAAAAGATATATGACATACCGGAATAAGGAAAGTTCTTAAATTTCCATACTTGAGAAGATTTCATATTTAACAAAGTGTTTTGAAGAAAGCGTGAAATTTTTTTTGTTAAAAGAAAAAGAATGCTGGAATGTTTAAACGTGAAATATTTGAGAAGATAAAAAGTCTAGGTGAGATATTAGATGTGGGGGTACTTTTGTCATATTATTTTTTAGTAAGCATGCTTATAAAGAGTTAATTACGGTATTTAATTATTACATGTTCCAAAATAAAACAAATGGGACAACTAGTCATTAATTACACCTTAATTTGTGCCCTTGGGGCACAAGATAACATTGCCCTTTAATAAATTGGGACGGGTTCTCTTTGCCAGGATCATTATTTGGAGAAGTAGACAAAATATGTGGAATAAGTATATTAAGTGTTAGTCTCATTATCATTATTGAGATGTTTTGTAGGATTTTCTTACACGTGATCATAGGATTGTAGGCTAGGGTGTGCTGCTCTCTCTTATGATCATGAGTACATTTAAGTGTTGTTACATTTGAGGCGGCATCTGACTATTGTTTTTCATATTCCTACTTTTCATATTCAAAAGAATGATTTATTCATTTTGCTCTATTATATAAAAGATATTTTGGTTTTTCAAACCATTTAATTGAGACTTACCTTTCTTTTCACAAACCATTTTTTCTTCCTTTTTTTTTAGCTCTAATGGTCTTTGATTTCACCACCCTCTCTTTTTATATAGATTTTGGTTTTTTAATTTGCCATCATCTTCGAGTTTTATTTTCCTTTATTCGTTTCTTTGCCTCATCTCTTTATTCAGATGCCATTTCTAGCCATTTTTTTCTTACATTTTTCTCTCTTTGTTTTCTTGTCTTTGCCATAACCAATACAAACATTTTACATACAAACATGATAAATAACCCCGTTGGTGGGGATTCTTCGTAGTATGCAATATTTGAAAATCCAAAGATTCCCAATTCTGACATTTTAGAGGTTAATAAACCCAACTCCAATATTATCGTTATTAGGGATAATTATGAGTCTGGAGAAGGTT